ATGGGGTTGGACTGGATGACCCTTGGGGTCTCTTTCAACTCTAGGATTTTATGATTCTATGATTACTTTGTTGTCAACTGCCCTAGAATCGATTTCAACCCATGGCAACCCTGTGGATGAGACATCTTCAAGACTCCCTTTCCTTCACTGCTCTGCTTAGTTCCTGCAAACTCCTACCCATGACCTCCCTAACAGAGTCCATCCAGCTGGCATGTGGCCTTCCTCTCTTTCTGCTTTCCTCCACCTTTTCTAGCATTACTGGGTTTTTTTCCAGTGAGTCATGCCGTCTCATGATGTGTCCGAAGTATGACCGCCTCCGTTTGGTCATCTTGGCCTCCAGAGAGAGTTCAGACTTAATTTACTCTTCAACCCATTTATTTGACTTTTTGGCAGTACATAGTATCTGTAGAGCTCCCCTCCAGCACCATATTTCAAATGAGTTGATTCTCTTCACTGCATTCGTCACTGTTCAGATTTCACAGCCATACCTAGAAATCGGAAATATGGTGGCATAGACAATTCTGACCTTAAACAGTCTTGTCCATAAGGAATCCCAAAGACAGTGCAATCCAAGTTCGGAGGCTCCAACCCATCCAAAAGGCCATCCCAAAAGCTTCAGGTCCTCACTTTTCTCACCAACATTCCTCCCTACCCACACATCCACCCGAATGCCAGAGCTCTGGAATAGGGTTGCCAGGTCAGGACTATCCCAGGCCTTGAGTTTTCTGGATCAGAACCCAAGACCTGCCAACACCACTTTGGGGGATCACAGGAGACAGGCCCCAGTGTAGAGGTGTAGCTGTGGATGGGGAGCGAAATGAGGACAGGGTGATCAGATGTCCTCACCGCAAAGGAAGATAAGGCACCTCAACGTGTAGGACCTTCAAGAAACATGTAGGACATTACAAAACAAAAACACCCATATACATATAAAATTCATGTTTCTGAGACATGCTCAAAATGGAGGGTGTTTTGGAATTCTTCCTGGATAGAAAGATGAAATATAGGACACTTCCTGGAAAAGGAGGACATCTTGTCACCCTTTCCCCATGAAATATTCCTTCAGCCCTCAAGTTTCTAGCACTGCAGTAATTTAAAACCTCCCTTGAGTATTTGGCAACTTGGTGAAGAGAAGATTGAGGGGTGAGATTATGGCACTCTTTCAGTAACTCAAGGGCTGCCATAATGAAGAGGATGCAGACTTGTTCTCTTCTGCCCCAGAAGGTAGGACCAGGTCTAATGGCTTGAAGTTACAGGAGAATAGATTTTGATTGAATATTAGAAGGAACTTCTATACAGTGTTAGAAGTTCAGCAATGGGACCAATTGCCTAGAGAGATGTGGCAGTCTCCTTCTCTGGACATTTCCTGGACAGTTATCTGCTGGAGTCCCTGCACTGAGCAAAGAGCTGAACAGAAAGCTAGTAGGGCCCTTTCCAGCTCTATGATTCTATCACCTTACATACAGTTTAGGCATCCAAAGAAAAGGGGCAGGCAAAGTTCCCAAGAAAATGAGAAAAAAACCCTTTTTAAATCCTAATTGAAAACTTTTTTGTTTTCTAAAACTTTTAGAATTTCAGGTTCATGCTTTATATTTTTACTATAATTATCTGTAGTGGCTATGTTTCATTCTGAATTTTGTGTTTGTGTATGGGTTTGTTTGTTTGTTTGTTTGTTTGTTTTTGCATTGTATTTTAGTATTTATAATATTGAAAAAGTTATAAAAGGTTTTATTCTGTTCGTAAAGCACCACATGCATGGATGGTGCTATATAAATAAATAAATAAATAAATAATTGCAAACACAACAAATACAAGCATTCTAGGTGCGAATGATTTTCAGTGTCCCACTCTCTATAACATTAGAAATTTGGAGACTGAATGAAAGCCCTTGTTTTACCCCCTCCCCATGCCCTAGTGATGTTACAAGAGTGATGTTACTCACACTGGTTTTAAGGCAAATCCAATAACATCCAAACAATGATACCTTTATGGGGCCAACCAAAATGCACAATTTAAGGCTGTTCTCTCACCCTGCGATTCCTCCTCCTTCCCCTGAGGACCAGGGGAAAGGGTCTAGACCAGTGGTTCCCAATCTCTGGTCCTCCAGATGTTTTGGACTGCAGTTCCCAGAATTCCTGACTGTTGGCCAATCTGGTTGGGGCTTCTGGGAGTTGAAGTCCAAAACACTTGAAGGACCAATGTTTGGAAATCACTGTCTAGACCTTAAAATGGAAACCTAGCTTGTGCCAGGGGAGGGCCAAGGTTGGAATTTCAAGCTCAGATCTCCCCCTTCATGCAGGTAGGAGCATCATCCAAAACTCAGTGGGGAGGTCAATCAGTCCTATGCCTTGTAGCATTAAACTAATAATCTGAATGTTTACCAAAAGAGCTCCATGGACTGTGTGTGCATGTGCCTTCAAGCCATTTCTGACTTAATGGTGACCCTAAGGCAAACTTATCATGGGGTTTTCTCGGCAAGATTTGTTCAGAGGCCAGTGTTATTGCAGTGGTTTGAGCATTGGGTTATGACTTTGGAGACCACAGTGAGGCCATGAAATCCACTGGGTGACCTTGAACAAGTCGCATGCTCCCAGCCTTAGAGGAAGGCAATGGCAAACCTCTCCTGAACAAATCATGCCAAGAAAGCCACAAAATACAGTCACCTTAGGGTCGACATAAGTCAGAAATGACTTGAAGACACACAACAACACATTGCGTGTTGTGGATGCATGGCAAAGGTTGTCAGGCATCACAGATCCCCCAGCATGTTTAGTTAACTAAAAGGTGAGTTATGGGAGGGGAGAGGATTTGTATTTGTCATCCAGGCAGCAAGCCACTCTTTGCATGGAGAACAGAGAAAAGATGGATGAGATATAATTGTCATAACCCGGAAGAGACCCTAAAACACTGGGCTCTTGCCAGAACTCTAGGTAATATCTCTATTCGTCCACTAGAGGGCAGTTTTAACATGCACCGAAGTTTTCTATCAAACATTGATAGAAATGGAG